TATATATATCTTTTACGTATATATAATATATAGTTATAATATACGTATATATAAAATATAGTTAATTTTATTCACATTTATACTTGTTATACACAACTACGTAAATATTTTATGTGATTATATATATATTCACATAAAATATTTACGTATTTGTATATAACAAATATAAATGTGAATAAAATTAATTTTTAAAAAAATGAAAAGCTGAGTATCCTTGGAAAGACCGTCTTCGATTAGCATGTTAAAGGGCCAATCAAAACTTTTTACTCTAAGAGTCGGTTGACGTTTGTTTATTCACTTTCTTTTTATCGGTTTAGCTCAAGACCTTCGTTTATGGATTAGCATTTTACAGAATCATACTTTGCCGATCAGGCCGTCGAGTCTTAATGTCATCTGAAGATTTTGTCGTGGGTCTGTTCTGTCCCTACGAGATGCTTTGGATTTCATTAAGATTAACAATGTAAGTTTTTCCAGAGGTAAGGAAAAAAACCAATGATAGAATAACGCTCTTTAGTAGTAAATGAGCCTAACAGGCATCGAATTGTTGTGGCATTGTTTTGTGAATTTTAGAAATTTGAGCTTCAATTGGGAGAGAAAGTTTTTACATTTCATTACAAAAACAAATGTGTTACATATGCTGCGTTTTAGGGATGAGGGGCTATGACAGTTCGTTATGAGAATAAGTTAGTAGTTACGGCGTTTCCGATTTTCTATGCTTTTCCAGTCTCGTCGTTTTTGGTCTGACAGACGCTTATGGAATATTTTTACTAGCCGAGTCTCTTTCACAAATCCCTAGGAGGTGGAAGTGTCGTGCCCGTTTTCTTCGTTGAACCTCACATCTATCACTGAAGATGTTGAAAATGTGTTAATATGAAATACCAAATACAGCTAGACTAGGAGTCACAAGATGATCGAAAACGTTCAAACTTCATCACACCGCCGACCACTGATAGAAATCTCGCAATAAACCAGGTGTGTTATAAAAAAAAATTAACGATTGGTATGTTTAAATAGGATGAACTGACATTGGCTGTTCAGCTGAATTTTGGAATGAAAGAACCAATTTTTAACTAGTTTAAAAGAAGGAAAGAAGTATTATGTCATGTATTTGTACTTATATTGATTTAATGGAATGCGAGATAAACTAAAGATAAAAAATAACATGCGTGTGAGTACACAGTAGTCTTTTTTGTTTTTTCATTGATAAGATGAATTCATAGTAAACAGTTAAAAGTATTATTGACTTTTTTACTTTTTTGGCTAGTATCTTATATAAAATAAATTATTGATAGTGCATATTTATGGGTGAAAAAAAATTTGAGTAGTTCAAAGCGAAACAACTGTGTGATCCTTAAAAACCCAGCGAGTGGAGAAAGACCCAGTAAGTGACCCTGGGCCGATTCAACGTGAAAAAATTGGTTCCCAGGCTTTATGCAAAATAACTTTTATATTTATAAATTGTAATTATTTATAGTTCATAAATGTAGTCTTTATTGCTTCCGATCAAAAACCTGCTTTTCTCAATAAGTAAGTCTCATAATTCGATTCATATGACGGTAATGATATTCGCACAATCACTACAATTATGATTAATTTAATAAAGCCTCGACAAGTCTAGAAAATGTTATTATTAAAAGTGTGCAAAAATATTATACAAACGACGAAATAAATATGAATCACTCTTTCGACAATCTTCTTTACACAAGTGCAGAAGCTCGATCATGATGCTCGATGATAAAAATTGTTCTGGGAAAAAATAAATATTGACAAAGAACACACGTACACGTCATACATTGTTAGTGCGTTGACACGCCCATTGTATATGGAAAATTGGTAAGAAACTGAAAGAACCCATACAATAGGACAAAGATAATGACGAAGGGCCAATTACACGGCACGGGACCATCACGGACCTGAGGCAATACAAACGAACTGATAAACTTAATGACCCAATTAGAGGAGAAATGTACAAAAAGCTCCGCTTTCACCTTATTAGCTTCAAAGAACGGCCAATTGACTGGAACTCTTTCTCAATTTTATTATCTTTTTCGAGGAACCTCATACAAGGAATACTTTTCAATATTATAAATGACGAAGTGTTTGGTTTCTCAGTGGGAGGTTATTTTGTGTAGCTTATGTTTCATGACAATGAAGGAAGAGTAATATTTAGGGGGGGGGGGTCGGTGGCCGTAACGGTTTATATATTGACTCGGCGCTCGTTACTGTATGTGAAGGTCCCAGGTTCGAATCCAACGGACCTGAATTGAACCCGAAATACAAATGGGCTTCTTATCAACAACACCTGCTTGGTTTGTATAACATAGGTCATATAAAAATATAACCTGTGAAAAATTATTCCCAAGGTTTTTTTTAAATATATATTTTTAATTATTTTATTTGTACCCTACACATGTTCGTACCTATTACACTCAGCGTTTGGGATTAACCGGCAAGGAAGTTTCGAGATGATCGTCGATTAAGGCGACGTGGCGGATTCTCGTGATGAGAAGGTGTAGAGATGGTTTGAGTGGCAGGGTTAGGATGAATAGAAAGAGAGAGATTGGTGTGAAACTTGAGGAATCGGAAAGAGATGAGTTTATTGGCAAAAGAAATGATCGTGGTGGTTAAGGTTAGAGACGTACTAAGGAGGTTGTGACGATTTGTCTTAAGTCTTTTGATTGGAAGGACATAACTATGGCTTGGCTGAACCCCACAGTCCTACTCCATATGTCCAAAGGGTCGCAGTAAAGCTTTTTAGTTTTGACCGTTCAAACATATTTCGGCTCTAGACATTTCATAATTGTCTAAATCTTCCGTTGGGTTCTCTGTTAAGTCTTGTCTGGCGATTCCACGTCTAGGTACAGTCCTAGAAGTCTGTATCCCTTTGGTGTTGATGTACAAAGGAGAGCACAACATTTTTGACACTGAATACATTTTTCTTCTTCAATCGTGCACTCCTCTTTTTTCACTAGTTTTCGATAATCTCAAGGTGTTCTTAGATGTTGTAAGTAGCTTGGATAGCTCTTAAAATGTAAGTGTAAAATTCCTTAGCTTGAAAGGTTTAGATCATTTGGGTCTGCCCTACCCTAGTTATTGGTAAGTCAGACATGTTTTGCTTGTCACCATCTGTTTGTATATCAGAATACATCACGATGATGGCGGTTGAAACGCGATAGATCAACTGATAGATCAAATCAGCGAAACTTATCAGAATAAACTGTAAACAAAAATAGAGTCAGAAACGTTCAAGCTGTTGATTCAACATCCCGCGAACCTCAATAACAATTTATACAATCCTTGTTTCAGAGAAGGGCATAACATCAGTAGTTGGCTACTACTTTGAATATACTGCACTTTTTTAGAAATGGTTTGAATCAACAGGAATAAACACAACATCAATTACAAAAGAGACGCATGTAAACTCAGTCGCTGCTTCGCTAATATCATTAATCAAATTCAATGTCGATCACATACATATATCATCATCACATCACACAAAACAGATAGTATAACATATCAAACAATCATCAAATTCCACACTTCAAACGTTTCCACATAGTCTAATTCTTCAACAAATTGGCTTTCTTCATATAAAAATATCTTTCTCTCCCGGCTTCCTTCCCCACCCCTTCAAAATCCAACGTACATAAACATAAAACATCAATATCTCACTGGCACTCTCAACACGACACAAAGAATGACACACCTACACAGAAAACAAACACTTTGACTGAGTACGAATACTTAGATTGAATTTAAAATTTCGAGCATTGTAAAAATTCATTTTTTTCTCATCCTACATGTATTTGTAAAGTTTAAACAATGTTTATTAATCCCAGGCCCTGAAGATGATCTCAAAAACGAACGAAACGTTGGCACGATAAAGAAAATGTTTTTCTAAAATGGCAAAATGTTTTTCTAAACAGTGGCCAAATATTCTGTATTATTATATTTTTCAGAGTTTTGTGAGGCTTCTGAACTATATTTTTATAGATTTATGCTTGTATTTTGAATACTTTTTACATAAAAATTGTACAATTGAAAAAACAGTTTTCTTTTTTAATTCGGTAAAGCGAAAAGTACGTACAGATTAATGCATTCTGCTGTTGGTATTTTCTGTTGTGAATTTTTTTTGTTATAAAACAACATTAAAGCCGCCAGGAAATTGAATTGAAAAGAGAATGGCAAATGAGAAAAGGTCCTTACCGACAACGGCTGCAAGGTACTGCTGGAACTGGCCGGTTTTCTTCTTTGCCTTCTCCCTCAGGCGGGGTCCCGATGAAAACTGACGGATCTCGACGTTCCCGATGGATTCCGTTAATTTTTCCTCCATCGCAGATGTTTCCTCACTCTGATAATAAGTAACTGGCTTGTCCATACCGCCTATCTTTTAGTTCTCAAAAAACGCCAAGGCCATGTGCACTCTGCTCCTCTTCTACGACCGGCCGGCAATTGATAACGTTCGCCAAATTTTCAACACCTCATTATTATTTTTCTTTCCATTGGAAAAGCTGTTTTTCCCGTTCCAGGGGATTTGCGTATTCGTTTATTTATCTTATTTTTCGCTCATCTCGCTATCTAGCGGATTCAAGCTGTAAAAAATAGTAAATTCTTCTTCGACTCGGACAAAATGTATTCGTTTCGAATTCTCATCATTTTATTGTCTTTGTATTTAGTAATAAAACGGTTTTATTAACATTAAAAAAGGTATTTTATTCTTTTTTCATAAATTTATTAATGTTAACACTTCCAGACATTTCTCTTCTGTGGAATAACAGGCAGTTGGTTATACTTAACCCATTTTTACAATGATATACAACAGAAAATGCATGTTTACACATTTAATTATTAACATTAAATAATTATAATTAAATTTGATGTTAAACAACAATACTTGTTTAGAAAAATTAATCAGAAAGGTTGTTTTTTATTTTAACGAGGGTTCGCAACAGCAGAGGTTATATCAACCCTCGAGGTGCCGGTGTTTTTGAAAAAAAGTCCACCTGTAAGTATGTCGGGTTCGAATGCAGGGCCGCTGGATTCGAACCCGGGGTTTTTACCTTACAGTGATGAGCGCCGTGTCAACGCCTAAACCGTTGCGACCACCGATTTCGCCCTAATCAGAAAGTTGATGAATAAAATACAAATTGAGTAACGAGGACGATAATAAATAGTTATGTCAATAATAAATAACAACCATAATCAAGTAGTGTAAGTAATCTTATTAAGGTGGTGAAAAATAATAAATTGAAAAAGTTGGACAAATAAATGTTAATATTGCATTTTTTACATTTAATTCTTTGTGTAAAAAATTTTGTAACTTTTTTATATGCCCGTCAGGCGAGTTCCCAGAAGAAATCGTACCATTTTATTGTAAATACTTAGTATATAAGTTATAAGTACTACTTGAGGATATCGCTCGTTATAAAACGATAAAACTTGTAGGACTTTTCAACTTATACTGCTACTTAGTAAAATTTGGATATCTTATTAAAAAAGTATAAGTCCCACAAAAATAACGCAGGAATACTTTCTGGTAAGAAAGCACCTGTACGTCAACCTGTGAGAAGGCTTGGGTCACGGCAGCGGGCACAGATCACTGGTCAGTATCTCAGGGTTATAAAGAATTTTAAATATATTGTAAATGGAATTTATGTAGGTTTGTTTGTTTTTGGTCAGTGTTGTGTTTATGTTAATTTAATGGACTTAATGTAATTTACTATCGTGAAACTAAGGAGTTGGTTAACCTCGCCCAGGAATCGAGTACTTTGTGGGTTAGGGTAATATGACCAGATGTCTATGCTTGAATCGAGTAGTGATTTATATGTATTATATGTTTCGTGTCTATTCAGTAGAGACAACCCGAGTTACAAACGAGAGGCAGGCACGTAAGATTTCGACTTGGTATATATTAGCGAGAATGGAGTGGGTTCGATCCCGCTCCGAGGAATATCACCGAATGCTTTGGATGAGAAGTGAGAGAGGTCATGGGTGGTGATGTATAAATACCGGGTGATTATTTATAAACTATCCGATTTTATTTATTTTCTTTGGGAATAATTAAAAAAATAGGACTGCTGATGCCAGAATCTGAATCTGAAGTCAAAATTTTGTTCGACGTTGGGACGTCCCCAGGGCTCAGCAATTTTTTTTTATGGGAAGGTATCATTTTGAATACGAAATTAAAGTCTATGACTTTTTTAAGATTTACTTCGGGCACTTTTCTGGTAGGGTTTGTCGTTAAACAAAAAGTTTACACTTTATTTACCTCAATCGTTATTCATATACCTCCTAATAACTTTAAGATGTATACTAATTATTAATTTAATTACTTCCTAGAATCTCTAGAGGCTCTGGCAATACGATACACAAGAATGACACATCTATAAAGAAAAATTTTGATTTTGAGCCCTGAAGATGATCTCAATAAAGATCGAAACATCTATCTTTCGTGGTCCGATTGACCAAATAAGATAGAAACGTTGGCATGATAAAGAAAATGTTTTTCTAAAACCTAAGTCACACCAGAAAGCATCTCACGATTTCCAAATAATCATAAAAAATTATGTTAAGACCAGTCCTATTTTTTAATTATTGACAACCAAAAGAAATAAAAGGGCGGGTAGTTAATAAATAATAACCCTGTATCTATTATATGTTTTGTGTCTATTTTGTAGTTGACTATATATAGTTAAATTTCGCTCAAAATTGATTGATAAGATATTTACAAAAATCAGAAGTGTTTATCTCGTTAGAGTGGAACTGTATCATTAGAAATCTCAACAAATCAAACTGGAATGGGGCTAAATAATGTTAACCGTTATTCTACCGAACTCTTCAATTTATTCAAAACTATACATTTTTGAACATTTACAAATTCACGGCACAACTTTTTTTTTGTTAACGTATTTTTGATCCTGTTTAAAGTAAAAGTAAATACTAAATGTTCGAATTGGAATACTGAAATATCAGATGAAATATATGTGCACACTCCTAAATTACATACGTTTTGGACGTGTTTTATACTTATTTTCATCGTATACCGGGTGTATCGTATCCGATGACAATTTAAATTTGTTTTTCTGGGTGGCAGATCACAAGCTTTGAACAAACAAACAAACAAAAAAACTCAAGGTATAAGTCAACAAGTTGTTGAAATATGCCACGTCAACAAGCGAGTTCGATTTTCCTTTTGGTATACATTTTATAAAGAGGTTACAAAGTTTGCTTTCTTTTCAATACGACGTCTAACAACACAATTTGTTAAAAATTAATGTTAAGAAAGCATGTTGAACTGTACTCAGTCTAGACCAATATTTAACATGTTATTGTTAACGTTGTTAGAAAATTCAAAATAAAGCGGCACGTAATTCTCTCAATATACTTTTGACAAAAGATGTGAATATGTCTTTTATTCAGCTTTAAATTGTGATTTAACAACGTAATTGGCTGCCTACATCGTCCGGAATCTACATCTCCTTTAACAAATTTGGGCAGTTATTTTCAATGTTGCGAATAAAAGCAGGCTTGCTACGCGCTTTACATAACAATGAATTCATAATTTTAAAACGTGTTTTATTTCGTATATATGTAGTATTTATTGCTGTTATTTTTGAAATTAAGAATGAATCAAAATGAAATTCAAATAAAATTTGTTTTTCCATGTTCCTATAAATTGAAAATTATTTATAACTAATATTTTATCTGTGAAAATCTCTTTACCAAATGATTTTTCGTTAAACAGCCTCATGTTATCAACTTCATTATTTTCAAAGAATAAACTCAAATTGATGAATTTCACCTTGATTACTGAAAATTTAAACTGCGATGTATTGCTCTAGTATCCATCAAACCCTCAGTATTATTAAATTTAATTTTTTTAAATATATTTTATTAGGGTATTTCAACTACAAGGTTGTATGAACCAACCCTCGGGGAGCCGGTATTTTTGAAGAACAACCCATTCGTAGTATGTCGGGTTCGAATGCAGCGCCGCTGGATTTATAGTAATGAACGCCATGTCAACGCCTAAACCGTTGCCCCACAAAAACCCTCATTTTGACATATGTAATCTCATTCATCATCCATGGATAATATATCTAGTAGACGTGAATAGTGAAGGCTAACAGTAAAGCACCAGACAATAACGGTGCTTTAGTCTTTTCTGATTGTTTTGCAATATTTACCCAATTAGCAATAATGCGTGACTCGGTCTCAGGCTTGACTTTGTCAGTGAATCAGTATCAGTCGTAGCCCAGTATTTTTATGATGTACTTCTTAAAAACTTATACTAACTTCTTAAACAAAAGTTGGCAAACATATTTCTGTAGCTCGATGTTGTAAATTTCATTGACCTATGTATTAAAATTAGGCAAAATCGACTGTTCAATTGTTCGCGTTGTTCATGAAGCAAAAAGTGGAACAACTCTTAGAAGTATAACGACTTCTATTACAATTAACAAGGAAACGAGAGTGAGTGAGTGAGTGAGTGAGTGAGAGAGAGAGAGAGAGAGAGAGAGAGAGAGAGGGGGGGGAGAGAGAGAGAGAGATCACAATATTATGTACAAAGGATACTTCTGAAACCATGTCCATAGTACAGTTAAATTCCTAGAATGCCGTTGAAGATGCAAAAGCCCACTACTTAAAATCATGGACTTGTGAATGTGAAGTTATATTTAATAGTTTTGTAGGGTGATTAATGACCCTTAATCGATAATTGTTCAGAAATAGTGAGGTGCGGTTTGGTATGATGTAGGCTTCAGAAAAACATTTTCTTTATCGTGCCAACGTTTCGATCTTTATTGAGATCATCTTCAGGGCTCAAAGTTTTTGTCTTCTGGGTAATTGTGCCATTCTTGCGTGTCGTGTTGAAGGTAGAGAGAGGGAGAGAGACAAAGAGAGAGAGAAAGGGAGAGGGAGAGAGCGAGAGGGTGAGGGAGAGAGAGAAAAAGGGGAGGGAGAGAGAAAGAGAGAGAGATAGGGGTGGGAGCGAGAAGAGGGAGAGAGAGGGGGAGAAAGAGAGAGAGTGAGAGTGAGAGAGAGAGAGAGAGAGGGAGAGAAAGAGAAAGAGAGAGAGAGAGAGAGAGAGGGGGAGACGAACAGACAGACAGACAGAGAGGGGGAGACGAACAGACAGAGAGAAGGAGTGAGAGAGAGAGAGAGAGAGAGAGGGACGAACTATGAGATAATTTCAAATAATAGAAAATAACAATTGATTGAAATATACTAATTCTAACTTTCCAATAAAGTGAAACAGAAAATATTGAAATACGACATGGAGACCAAGTTGGTTTTATGTTTTATGGGAATTGCCACCTTCAGAATTCAATTTGTACCAACATTCTTGACATGTACACTTTGAATTGTATTCATGGCAAACATTAAAAATTCTCCTGTCACATAAATACCTCAGTGGATGCCTGTCCGAGTTCTAATACGATAAAATGAAGAAGTACATCGTAAAAATACTGGGCTACGACTGATCCTGATTTACTGACAA